CTAGGAGCAAGGGATGGTGGCAGGGGAGCTTCCTTCCGAGTGCTGGGACCACCTCACCTTCTCTGCCCTAGGAGCGTAGGATGGTGGCAGGGGAGCTTCCTTCTAGGTGCTGGGACCGGCTCAGCTTCTCTGCCCATTGCGTGGCTTCAGAGTCTCCCAGAGTCCTTCTCATGCAGCATGCAGCCAGTTGAAGTCACAGAAGGTGGTCCCACATGCTGGGGGGCTCCCAGCAATGTGCTCAGGACACTCACTTCAGCGCCATGACCCTGGAAGCTACATAACCATTTCTGAAGGACTTGAAATTGTTACTTTTGCTCTGAGAAATTCCATGAGGAAAAAAATGAATACATATGGTCTATGGGAGATCACATTCATCCAGGAATAATAGAACAATAAATTTAGTATTTATGGTATGAAACAATGCACACATTTCTCTCGGCCAAAATAGCACTTAAAAGATTGTGTGGTCTATAAATCTCACCTAAAACAAAATATTGGTGATACATTTATAAAACTATTTTAGAGCTCCTAGAATTTCATTTATAAGTAACCTTCTTTTATTAGCCCATTTGGCCTTAAATGCTAATGCCCTTTTGGACTCCCAAGAACTTTTAAGTAGGTTGCATGTCCTTGACCAGCATAAAGTTTACCACTGAATAATTCTGCCCTAGTGTGCTGTGGCTAAATAACCAGACTTTTTTTATCTGGGTTGTTTTTATTGAACAGGAGTATTCTTCTTCCTTGGGCAATTTAAGCTTTTACAAATGGTATCTGAGGCATATATATTAGCTATTTCAGCTAGCTTTATACAGTAATGTCAAATAAAATATCTTTTGGGCTTTGCCCTTATTACAGTATGCAGATAAGCAGTCAGATCCTAAGCAATCAATATTTGTGTATATATTATCCATTGTACTCAACTGAACATTAGAATGTTAGGGATAGAAGAAATTTAAAGATAATTTGTAAGCCCAACTCTTCAACTTTGAAGGAGTAAAGTGACAGTGAAAATGAATATAAATGAATTATCCAGTACTACTCAGCTAGTTAAGAGAAAGACAACAGTAGAAGCAAAGTCTAAATTCCCAGTTCAGTCTTTTTCTCCAGGAAATAAGGCTGCTCAGGTGTCACATACAAGCTCAGCTCACATTACTAATCAACTGCCAAATCTAATCCCAGCCCACACTACTGAAGAAGAGCTCTGCATTAAACATCACACCAACTGTTAGAGCAAGTATGGCACATAATGTTGATTCTCAAGGTAAAGTATGAAAACTCTGGCAATATAATGGAGCCATTGATAAGTGCATTCCTCGAGGGGTTTACAACATGGAAGTTTGCTATAGAGTCATTAGGAAAAATTTCAGGTAAATTCAGGATAAAAAATAAAGGTAGAAGTCAAATTATTTTGGTTCCAGGAAACATAACACAGGTTGGATTAAGTGAAAATTTATTGATTGTCTCATACATTTTTGAGTTCCAGGGTTTTAGGCATGGTTGACTGTTTCATAATTCTGTGATATTAGGAATGATTATAGGTGCTTAGTGGTTTGTTTATTGGCAGTACTGGGGATTGATCCTGTGGCCTTGCACATGCCAGGCAACTGTATCACTGAGCCACACCCCCCAGCCCAATCACAGGATCCTTAGATGTCAGAACAAATCACAATGACACTTAAATGTGTTAAAGGAAAAACTCTTTTCTTATACCTCCAAATGAAAGAAATGCCACACAGGAGATTGTGTTGAGGAATAGAAAAACAGAAAGCTGGGGCTGTTGGAAGAAACTTGGGTATGAAAAGTGAACAAGTGAGATTGTGTATGTTGAATAACTTGCCAGCCTAAGGAAGAAGGATTGTTCCTTGAGCTGTTAGATATTTGGGTGTCTCTGATACTTGTAAACATACGCATTATAGCGAAAGATTCTTAGAGACTAGTGAAGGAAATATTTGGGCTGAAGATTTAGCAAACTGCCCACAATGGGGAATTGAGAGCTTTTAGTCACCACTTCAAGCTGAATCATGCTAGAATATGAAAACACTTATTAAGTAGATTAACATGATAATATAATAACTTAATGGAAAGTTTATACTTTTGTCTTAATAATATTGACAAATGTTCTGACTTTAATTGTCATGAGTTTCAATTAAGTCACACACTTATCCTTTTAGAAAATATTATAACCATGGGAATTGATTGTTAATTGACAAAGACCTATCAAAGGTTCCAAGTCTTTCTTTGGACCAAGCAGATGGAGAAAATACTACTCCAGTTATGTGGACTGAAGGTATATAGGGAGATGATTCTTCAAAGAAAGTCATAGAATTTTTATCACAAGAAAAGGACAAGATTATTAGGTAGGGAAAAATGATAAATATTCATTAAATAAGTGCATCATATAATTTATCTTGCAAACTGGACCCTTTTTTGGTAAAAGGACTGCTATTAATAATTCTGTCATGACATTTGAGTAAAGGCAAATTGTCCTGGGAAAACAAGCATCTGTGGTCATGTTACTATTTCACAGCTTTGAAGGAGGATTTCTGTACAAATTACATAGCATCTATATGGAAATAACACATGATTCATGTACAGAGTGAATAAGGAGGACATCATGTTCCTGGAGAATTTTGTCAATAAGCTACTTGCCAAAAGGTTAGAAGTTTATATATGGCCTTGAATACCATTCCAAGGAGTTTTGATGTTTGTGCAACGGAGTGTGATTCAAAGTTTCAGAATACTGGCATAATTGAACCAAATCTTTTTTTTTTTAGGAGGAAAAAGTTGGTGGTGATATTGAAATAGATAGAAAGAAGAAAGATTCAAGGCAGGAAAAGTATCCAGAGATTTAATTTTTTCAATAGTGCTATTCTAGTTAAAACTGTTATCAACCCATTCTTGAACTACAAAAGTAGTCTTTAATTTATTGGCATAATTCTACCTGTTTCTCCCTCCCTTCCTTTCTGGACAGCAGCTAAAGATGTAAGTTAAACCTTGATCCTGTCCTACATAAATTCCTCAATTATAATCTGAAATTACAGTACTCATTCTTAGAGACTACAAGTCTTACATGTTTGAATCTCTTTCTCTTCCTTCAACATTATCTCTATGAATATCAAACTGGACTTTTTCCAGGTCTTTGAAGATGCAGTCAGTTCTGCCTTGGGACCTAGGCATACTCCTTATCTTTTGTTTAGAATGTTGTTTCCATTATTCATTCATCCTTATCTCAATCCTTGCCACTCTATCTTCTTCATTTTTGTGCACAGGCTCTTTGCCTTCCAAAGAGCTATTCATATTTTAAGCTTCAGTGGAGAAATGCTACCTGAACCACACTCTAAATTTCATAGGGCTCAAATTTTTTTTCTTTATAGAGTATTATCTTACTTACTCTTAATACAAGTAATTATTTACCTGTGTGTAAAGTTTTTGTTTGTGTTTGTTTATGAGTTTTATTTTATTTTGCTATTTCATCAAGACAAGAAAAAACAGCCAGAATCAACAACAGGGATAAATGGTTTTGGGTTTGCCAATTACACTTAAGTGCGTAATGGCTTGATGGAGAATATACATCAATAAATAAATATTTGTTGATGAATTCAAGAATGATACATGATGTAAATGTAAGACATTAAAACAGCATCTGTGGTATGAAAAGGAATGGAAACTAATGTAAAATATGAGAATATTTAGGAAAGGACATTATCAACTCAATATATTAGAATGCCCTGAGTATTGTTTATTTTCATTGTAATTTTTATCCACTGTTATAATTTGAAAGCAGTTAGATTAAATTTTATAAAGAAGTTTAATTTGATTCAGTGTTTTTCATTTAAGTTTCCATGACTAGAGGCAGAAATACAGAATTTTTAAAAAGGAATCTGGGGATGGGGAGTGATAGGAGGGAAGAGAAGGGGAAGTAAAAATGATCAAGGTGCGATACATATACATATGTTATATATGTATATAAATATATATGTGTCTATGTGTATGTGTATATATATATGCATGTGTCAATTCCCTACAATGAACTTATTTATTATATATCACAAACATTTTAATAAAAGGGAAAAAATATAAGAAATTTGCAAAATATTTATCATTTACTAGCTATATACTTAAATTCACATACTTTTAAAAGTTATTTGAACTTGTAATGCAATTATTTCTATGAAAATAAAAGTTTGTAAGGGATCTTGTCATTTGAGATGAAGTATTATCCAATATAACCTAGATGAGTTTATTCTGAGTTTATTATGAGCTTATTTTTAAGTTTATGAATTTTTATGAACAAACCGGATTTCTTTCTTGAAGTAAAGGCCAAACTAACACTTAACTTTGATTTTATTTTTCTTTGAGCAGCTTAAATGTCAAGAAAAATTAGAGAAAATTATGATATAACCCTTTTGGAAAAGCATATGCATGATAGCTGAAGAAATGTATTTCACTGCTAGAATGTATTTCTTGTAGGCATTTTGTAGCACAATATTATTTTTAGTTTGATGTTTTAGGAAAGATAATGTTTCTTAATGAATGTTTTCAATAATAGTGACAAAAACACTTAGAAAAAATATATATGTGTGAGTATGTATGTGTGTGTGATAGAACAATATTATATCCTATGCTTAATAACTAAAAATAAAATAATAAACAAGCAACAGAATTGTGGAAGTTAGTTTAATATGTTCTATTATCTTCAATATTTTTAAACAACTGAATTTAAAATTAATGAAAATTATAATCCTCATTGAATACATTCAGTTGAATAATCTCAGAAACAACAGATATCATATATGTTTGAGATATGAACTGAAATTATGAAAATATAAACCAAAACATACATATATATGGCACATACATATATGTATATGGTAGTCATTTGGATTGCTTTATTTTGAGTGATATTTCAATGTTAAATTGAATCAATTCCTAATAATCAAAACATATTAAAATACTGGTGTTTATAGATTTGTGATTTCATGAAAATTTTTTTCTTTCAGACTCTTAAAATACAGACTAGAAGATAGACTTTTTATTCCTGCTGATTATATGGAAGAAATTTTTGACCTCATAAAGTGGAGATGAGGTTGCTATGGAAACTGGTAATTCTGCTGCCACTCATAAACTCTTGTGCAGGTAAAGTGTTCTATTATTATGAGTTTAGCTTGATAAGTATATTGGCATTGTATTTCTTTCTTGAAGTGAAACAATTTTTAAAGTGCACAATGCCTATGTTATTTGAATGACTAAGTGATAGACTTTTGAAGGTTACCTTTATGATGAATATAGAGAAAGTTTCATCTTTAAAAATACATCAAATACTACTTTCATCAGAAACTAACATTATTATATTTATAAATGGTCAAAAATGCAAAGAGTAAAATTGTGATGAGATGATTACATAATCAGTAAGCAGTGAAGATTTATAAATTTAATTTATAGTGGCATCTTTAAAAACCTAAAATGGAAACGTATTCAGAATTCAGGACTTATTTTATAGAAATGCTACTTTGAAATAGAGGCAAAATGGTATAGAACAGTGGTGGAGAACCTAAGGCATGGGTGTCTCAACAGGCTATTAGTATCATGGAAAAGCACTAAAAGGTTCGCTGTCACTGGCATAGAATGTTACACCAGAATTTAAAATGACCTTAGAAATGTTTTCATTCCTTTTCAGTTACTAAAAAGAGACTAAAGCATGTTCTTATCTTTCACTTAATATAGCAATAGCTGTGTATCCATTAACTTTTGCTTTGTAATAAACTGCTTTTGAATCAGAGTGGATCAAAATAACAATTACCTATGTATTTAAGTGATAGGCCTGTCTTCTAGTAATTTAGGTTGTGCTCAACTGTACTGAGCTTTGGATTTTGGTCATGTGTACTGCCTCTGTGATCAGCTAGAGTTATCAGAGATTTAGGTAAAATATGCCCAGCAGAGACAGTTGGGCTGCTGTGACTTTGATTCAGATGGACTTTCATCCTCCATGAGCCTGGGTTGTTTTACATGATAGCTCCTTAGGGTTCCAGAAATCCAAGAATTCAGTGTCTCTTGATGCCAATGCTTAGAACAACTACCATGTCATTTCTGTCTCATTTTTTGACCACTGAAAGTCACAAGATCAACCTAGACTAAACGGATGTGGAAATATTTTCCATCTCCTGATAGAAGAGCTGCACAGTTACACTGTGAAGGGGTATGCAGATAGTAAAGGGAGTAATAGTAACTGCTTTTGTAAATAACCAACCACTGTCATTCAGATCATAGTTCTATTCTTAATTTTCAAGTTGTTACAGAGCATGGATAATGATTAGATCAGCTGATTGCCAGAAAAGCCCTTCTCCCTTTATCATTCTCCTTCTCCCTAACTGTATGATGAGAGGTTACTATTAACACTTCATATTTTCATATATTTGTAACAAAACAATAATATAGTGGGACAACTACAGGGATAAAAATAATAGCTGACAAGCCAGAAACAGAGTAATTGTAAGAGACATATATTTAGTAGCAATCCTAAGAGATGGAAAGATATGAGAGCGCTAAAATATTCAGAAATCAATCAGAAGAATCAGAACACCATGCAAAGGTATTTTTACAACTAGGGAATCCAACAGCTAGAAGTACCACAGTAATATTTACCCTGAGTTATTACACTGTTTTGATTTACATCACATCTAAGCTTGTCATAAAGATTTTGCATTAAATAATAATGTCTTCATGTAATAGATTTAAGAAAAGGCAGAGCAGAATCATAAAAATGTCTGCAAATTACACATGTGTGAATAAGAATTCTATGCCTGCCCTTAAGTTTCAGCTTTCTGTAAAAATTCAACATTAACATTTTGCCCTTTAAATATGTCTATTAAATTAGCATAGGATGTTTTAAAGACCTTTTATGGTAAATTTTTAAAAAACATTGTTATTCTCAGAATATATATCAAATCCGAGAAACACTCCACCTCTTCTGCTTTCTCTCCCCTTAAATCCTTTTATTGGTACATTTTAGGTAAACAGTACATTTACATTCATCATTGGGTGCTTGTACCTATACATGATGTATCTTGGTTCTTATTTTTTTCCCTATTACCTGTGCGCCCATCACCCCCTATTTACATAGAGTTTGTTTCCATTTTTTTCTTTTCTCGTAATTTTTCTTTTCCCTCCTTTCCTTTCCCCTTCCCCACTCACCACCCCTACCCCATTGGATCTTTTCTTCCTATTTCAAATTATCAATAATTCGTTTTAATCATTTTAACCCTTACTTGCACTTTCAGTTTCTCACACTAGAGGAACTATTTGGTATTTACACATGTGTGACCTATTTGTTTCACTTAAGAGTATGGCCTCAATATGCATCCATTTAGCTATAAATGTCTCTAGTTTCTCATTCTTTGTGGCTGAGTAGTACTCCATTTTAT